AAAATTTACAATCTGACAGCTACAATGCGTCCGACCTAGTGGTCCGCCCTGCAGCACACGGGTTACGGGCTCGTTTTCGCAGTATTCCGGGTTCGAGTCTGTGGTTTCTTCCTGCCTGGCATCCAAAAATATAATTACAAACAAGAATTCATGAGCTCAGTCCTTTTTCCTGTTACAGACCACCACTGGATAACTTGTTAAATCAGTTTTGACCTCTGCATTTAAACACAAAGCCACACAACACAAGCCAAAATGAAATCCTGACGAGTATGGCGTTATATTTAAACATTAATTTAAAAAGAAAACAAAGGAAAATGCCCTGTGTGTGCCCTGACCTGATGTTAGGATCAGAGAGGAAATAGGAATGAGACGTGACTGATAAATTGAGGCCTGACAGTAACTGCTCATATGGTGGTCTGAATTTTGATAAATGATCCTGTGCTGCCATCTGCTGGATGAAGTAAGTAACTGCTTCACATTCAACAACATGAAATCCTCAGAGAACTACGTGAGTAACTGTGTAAATCTAATCTATGAAACAAAAACTATGACTTGAGATTAATGTTATGAATGATTAAAACTCACAACATTATTATGTAATGATGTCACCACTCTTATCTTCATAGAAATAAAGCAATTTGGCAAACTCACACTTTGTGGTTCAAGTATTTATCAATGTCAAAAGAGAGTCAGTGGAAAAAAATACAAACACCAGTAATGTTTAACATAATTTATATTTATTTTCTTTTGAACAAAATGTTAATAAATGTATTTGTTTCACGTCCAAAAAAGATCATGACTCGTGGGACGCATTTTATAAATAATTTCATCCAAGTCTTTTGTAGAAAAAAAAGAAAGTAAATTAGCAAACTAAAGCATCTCTAGTATGACAATATGACAACTTTATCATAATTTTTTCTCTATATTTGAACCCTTTTCTCAATTCAAGCTTCATTTTTTTGTATATTTTTCTTAAGACCTCTTTATCTCATCTTTTTAACATCCAACTTAGTCCTACTCATCAACTCACACCACTGCTTTAGACAACAGAAAAATGCGGCAAAAATCTCAAAGAACAGACAAAAACCAAGGAGGCAAACAGAAAACACTGAGATTCCAACAGTGGGGGGAGAGAGGGGGAAGGTTGGGGAAGGGGAGGTGGCCATTTTGGGGATCCCACATCCTCAGGACATATTTACAACAGAAAGGACAAGGGGTTGGTGTTGGTGGTGGTGGTGGTGGTGGTGGAGGTTAGGGGAAAGTGGGTGGGTTAGTTTTGGGTGGGGTTCTTCTGCATAGATCCACAGGACTCAGATCATGAAACAGCTAGAGATCGAAGGGACGGAGCACAATGTGTGGGCTTGTTACATCCGCTGCTGTCTTCAAGGAAAAGTAGTTCTCGTCAACACAGTTTGTCAAGTAAAACAAAGAAACTAAACGACACGTCACATGAGAATATGAACGAAAAGAAAAGAAGGGGTCGGAAAGTAAACTGGACTTGAAAATCCAGAGGCAAGCGTACACTTGACTTCCATGTGACATCCCGCTCTGATGCTGTTTGTGTATGTCTGAAGAGCAAATCAATGGTCAGTATGTGATGTGATGTGAGGCGAGGTAAGGTCAAGCTGTTAATGTGAAGGGAGGAGGCACTGATACCAGGTTTTCACAGCCAAGAACAATTTAGAGTTTCAAGTTAAAACTCCAATCTGTCTGTAACTGACCGTCAGAGGCAACCAGGATGGAGGACAAAAAAAAAAAAACACTAAGATTTGGCGTCCTTAGCTTTCATTTTTGGTGCATCGCTAGTTGCTCATGGTATCAGATTTTAGTATTGGATAGATCTATTTTTCTGTCCAATCTCTAGCTAAACATGGGAGATGAATCCCCTTCTTAATCCCTGCGTGACCTGTCCTCATGTCAATGTGCACTTTATTAGCAGCAGCTGTGCAAAAAAGGAAAACACAAACAAACAAAACAACAAAATCGGATGGATCAGCCCTTTAAAACTCCTCACACTCCTCACACGCTGACACTAACACAGCCCTTTGCTAGTCTGTGAAAGATAGCGGTTGATCAGCTTGTCTAAGGGTGATTTAAGAGTCGACACATTGATTGATTGGGTGGGTCTTGGTCACTTGTTCGACTACATTGCTGAGAAGTCGAGCCGACAGTAGTGAAGAGGCCACAAAGTAGGACACTAACACCGGCTGTTTTTATCTCTATATTGCTCCATTGCCAGTATCTGCCTCACTGGGTTTATACAGCAGAGAGGCACTCAAAGATCTGGGGCCTCATTTATCAAACCAAGAGCAGGACTAGCTCTAAATGTCAAATACCAAGACGAAAATTGGTATTTACGAAGCCTTGTTTGATAACACCTTCACGCTGTGATCGATGATAAATCTGATGGTGGAAGAACACTCCCCCAGAATGCCAAACATGGTCAACCATCATCTTCATCTTGCTCTTCGAGACAAGAAGGATAAATACAATGAGCTCATGTCTTTATAAATATATATATATATATGTTTCTGCAGTGGTACTGACATTATTAAATTGTTGTACAATTTATGAACAACCATCATCCTCCATCTCTTGATCTGATAACATGGGTGCAGGTGGAGTCCTACCACTGCTGAGCCACACCCCCTTATAAATCCAAACTCCAAAATATCTGCAAATTTAATTTAAAATTTTCTTGTAACTGAGCTAAACATGAAGCTCTAGATTCTTCTTTTAAGTATAATTGTTTGGGATTTTTGCCTTTAATTGACATGATATTTGAGAGACAGAAAATGGGGAATTCGAGCAAAAGGCCATGAGATTCAGGATTTGAACCAGGGCCAGACTGTAGCCTCTGCCTATGGGGCGCCTGCTTAGCCCACTGAGCTATACAGCGCCCTGAGCTCTAGACTCTTTATGATTAAAAGCTGAGTTGTGGTTTGTGTACATTGGAGTTTTGGTGGTGTCTGAAGAGGAAACCAATGGCTCAGATCCTGTGCATGGAAACTGGTCGATAAATGAGGCCCCTGGTGTTTTTGACTTCACACAAATCTCCTCTAGTGTCCCAGGGTTGTCCCTGCACTCACCTACTCTGAAAATATGTGCTGCGGCATTAAGACGAGCCACCGGGCTGCCCATGTGCAACAGCGACGCTGCTGTCTGAGGTAAACCGATGGCGACTAAGCTCGGCGTCAACTCCTGCAACACCCCGTCATCGTGAGCTGAACCGCCACTACCTTCAACTCTCCTAACTTGCTCAATGGCCCAACAAGTTAGAAGAGAGAGCGCGCCAGTCTCAGAGCACTTAAGGTCCAAAAACATGTAGGCATGTACCGTCGTAAGAGGTCGAGATAAGATCTAGTGGGACGAAACACAAGCTGAACATCAGAATATAGAAGAATCACAAACATTTTGTTTTTCCGAGACCCACACGAAGGATGGATGAGCTGGTCCTGGCAGGCCTCAAGCAACATCACATACATGGTGGCTTAGAAGATGCCTTAAAGATGGTGGAGAGTAGGGAGTGGGTTACTGTTGATATGTCAAACCATTCTGGCACCTGAAAATAATGCAGCAAAAATCTAAGAGGAATGATGAGCGAGAGCACACACTTCATCGATGTCCAATTTTTCGCTGACAAGCCATCCACACACGCACTGAAAAACTGGTGGGGGGGGGGAGGGAGGGAGGGAGGAAGGCAGAAAGGAAGGGAAGGTAGTAGGTGAGGGACAATATGCTAGAAAACATTTGGATGGAATAGAAACAATGAGCAGGTTTCAAGTGGCATGAGGTCAGTTCTTTAGGGGGGTGGTTCTCAAACATCTCGGTTTGTCGATGTCCAATCCCAGCACCCTTAGCTCCAGTTAAAACCCTCCCACTTCCTGTGGTTGATGGTTCATCTGCGGCAGATTGTAGAGGCATTTCCAGCATGTCTCGCCAGACGTGTCCCTGGCAGCCATGACATTGTAAAAGCCATAATGCTCTCGAGCGACATCACTCTTTACAAGCTCCAGCCTTGATTCAACCCCAAGGTTCACTCCTCATTAGAAGCACTCTCCTCTGGTGAGAAAATGGCAGCCATGCCCACCAACGTAGAATTATGGGAGGCTGAAATGATGATGACAGTGTGTAGGAGGATGAGGGCCAGCAGGCAGATCTTCAGTCGCCCGCTGCACAGTCTTGGGGTAGCAGCGGAGGTTACCGAGGCCCCCTCGGGTTGGCAGGAAGAAGCAGTCCTTTTTAGTGTCCCGCCTGAAGGGTTGTCCATTTTGGCGTCCCATCGGACGTCACAGCACTCCGCCTCACTGTCTGATGGATGATCCCCCAAGAGCCCTGAGAAACAGATGACACAGGGTGAAAACGTTGACTTTTCCCAGCTGTATGTTTACAGGACATACATCTATTTGTAGCGTTGATCCATGAGAAGATAAAGGTGAGTGGTTTTAAGAACTAAAAACAAAGACATGGACATCTACCTTTAGACAATATGAGACATTTAAGTATTTCTCTCTCACACTCACCCACAAGAGCCGCCTAAATATTCACTTCTAAATAAACAACAAGTTAAAGTCCAGGAAAAAAAAAGTTTATCAAATGTCAATCAGTCAAGACCTGATCTGCTTCATCACGACTGTGCAGGGGTGTGATCTGATTTGATTGACAGGAGTAAACAACCTCATTCATGTGCTATTCAGAAGATGCTGAACTCTGAAGTGGTGCTCGGGAGTAGGTGGCATCACTTTTTTTTGTTGTGTTTTCAATTGAGAAGCAGCTTCAAAAGAACAAACACTGAAAACATTTTATGTGACAGAAGCAAAACTGTTCAGATTTAAACAGGAATATGTGTCCATGTAAGATCCAGACCCTGACTGAGGAAAACAAGTCCTGGACTGATTGTTTCTGTTTTATTTTCTGGGGCTTTTTGCCTGTAATTGATAGGAAAGCTGAGAGACAGAAAATGAGGAGGCAGAGAGAGGGGAATGACATGCAACAAGAAGCCACTCAATCCAGGATTCGAACCTGGGCCAACCGAGGACTGAGGCGCCTGCTCAACCCACTGAGCTATAGGGCACCTGGTTCTTGACTGATTGATTGATTAAGACAATCCCACACACACCTGCTGCCAGAATTACTCAGACTCAATTCAACAGCTGGATCATGTCTCCTGCTTCTGTAAATGGACACGCAGCTGTTTAAGGAAAATACTGATTTGTTTTTAAGACATTAAAGATAAAAAAGGTGGGAAGAGAGAGATGCAGTAAAGATGAGCACAGTTGGGAATCGATCCTGTGATCACTGCAATGGACAACATCAACAAGGAACCTGAGCTTATGCACTCAACCACCAAGCACCCTGTGGAGAGTTGTTTTTACAGTGGGCATCACAGGATATGTGGAGACCCCACAAATGGTTGAATAAATCCAGCCACACTGCAACTGCTCCCGTCACTGAGCTAAAGAGTCTCTAGACAGCAACCATTTAGTCAGAGGGAGAACAAACCCTCAGTCTACCTAGATTGTGGTGTTGTTAATTTTCTGGGGAGGAGATTGTTTGATTTTGGCTAATCCAGCAAAAAAAAAAAAAAACACCTGACAAATGAAATAACTGTGATATAAAGGTTAAATGAGTTCACAAAGTCAATTGTTTCTTTAGTCCTAAAAAAAGAAAGTCTCAGCTTGATAAACACCCACACTGACAGAGCACAGGTTATAATCTGGTGCAGCCAAATTAAAAGCAGCACCTCTTAATAACAATCTAATCTGCAACTGCGGCACAGTGGGACTATCAGATGTGGACATCTTTCAGCTCAGTGCGAGGATCAAACCCAGTGAGACCTCGGTGTGCTGCTCTAATCATGACGTGGAGGACCAGACGCAGTGGCCCCCAGATGAACTCAGATTTAAGACCACAACCACACAGGGGGTGACGCATCGCCGCATCAGTCGATGAGTCTGGAAGTCTCGGAGTTGGCGGAATGCAAAGGGAGCCGTCGACACACTTATCTGCTCAGGGAAAAGCAGATGAAGCTCACTCACTTCTCGCTAAACTATGGCACAAGGAGAAGGATGGAGGCAGATCTGGGACAGGCTGATCTGGACTCAGCAGGATTTAAAGGAACAATAACCAAAACTCTTGATTTAAAGACATTAAAGATGATGCACAATGGCTTTGCTCGCCCACAGTTCACCAGGTGTTTTATCTGATCAATCTGTGTGGGGACAGGCACACTGTGTTTCACTGACATCTCCCTGACACCCTCTTGATGTTGATGCATTTTCTAAAGACGAGATTAAAGTGCACAAAAACTCGACCAACTTGACTCTCAACAACAATACTCTAAAAATACAACGCTACAAATAATTTGTGGCATGATGAAACTTAACTTCAAGTAGTAGCAAGGTCTCTGCAACATGAAAACATGGTCTCACAAATGAAGCCGTGTGGACGGAGCACAGTGATTTGGGGTTTTGCTGGAGGGGGGAAATAAATCAAGTTTATAGAGGTCTCTTCGAGGATAATATCAGGGTGGCTCCACCTGCTGAAGCTCAGCAGAAGTTGCTGACGCAGCAGGACGATGACCCCAAACATCAAAGTAAATCTACTTCAGACTGGCTTCAAACAGAGAAAATCCACCTTCTGAAGTGGCCCAGTCAGAGCCCAGACCTTAATCCAGTGGAGACGCTGAGCTGAAGCAGCGGTCCAGCTTGGTCCAGAGGTTACTGTACCAAAGGAGCTTTGACCAGGTCTTAAATTCTGTAAGACTGTGAATTTATCATTGCTGCGTTCAATAAAAACACAAAACGTTACAAATTCCTTGTGTGTTTTCACTAAAACTCACTGCATTTGTCTGGATTTGTGTCATCGTTGAAGGTCAGAATGATCCCGGTCAATCCAAAGGGCTCTCACACTCTGCTGTTCAGGATGAGGAAAAATCACTCTCCTAAAAAAACATCCCACCACACTGTTGACATTACCCCTTTCTGACAGCAGCTAATTTCTCTACAGTCCCTTAGCTCGTTAAATCCAAACATAATTCCCAGCACAGGTCCGACTCAGAATCACCCAGAGCCCAGGACACCTGTGTGGGCCTTAACGCTGATGTTGTGTTGCTCATCTCTCCCATGTAACTTGTGTGTTGGCACAGAGCCAGCGTCTGGTCCTCTTAGGCAGAGTCCTTGGTGATTACTGCAATATAAACTGCAGTAAATATTGAGGGACAGGCCAAATTCAATTCATCAATGCATTGTAGGGAATGTCCTTGTGTGAGCGTGGCTGTGCTCAAAGATGCCACTAGATGTCATCAAAAAGCCTTTGGAAAGGCCTCTGTTGTTTTCCTGGAGAAACACCATCCAGTCAATATGGAGACACACATCCTGGATGAATTAATACCGTGAACCCTTTTTACAAAATGCGTTTCGTTAACATTAATTAAATTAGGAGGTTTTCTCTGACAACACCCACATATCCAAACACACGAGGTGGTATTAACCTGTACAGATGAAGCTGGGGCTGCCGCCGTGGATCAGGTCATCGTTATCGGGCAGGATGAACGGACAGCTCTGCTGGACCTCCAGGCAGTACTGGTGGCACGGTACCTTCTTCTGACAGGACTGCTGGGAGGTGGGGAAATACTGCGCACACAGCCAGGGCTTATAGGCCGTCTGGGGGGGGGGGGAGAAGGAGAGAGGAGAGGAAAAGATGACATAAATATATTCTGCTCCATGATCCAGTTGAGGTTTGGTGAAAATTATTTTCTTTTAATGGAGGAGCACATTTGTTTTGTGTAAAAGAAACAAATCATCGGCTTGGTAGTTATTAATCATCCCAACACTGGCCCCTGCAAAGTCATTACTTGTGCACTGAAACCACTGGGCCTCAAATACAAACTCTTTTCTTCTTTCCCACATAGATAACTGCACTTGATGTATTAATGAAAGCTCAGGAGATGTTAGCCAGCGTGCGAGGAGAGCCACTGTGCTGTTAGATCAATCTTACTGCAGAGATTTGGCTCACACAGTGTACAGCGTCCCATATACAGTGTGACAGCTGCTTTTTACAGTAACTTTGACAGTAACAAATAATTACTCAGTAAGCATCCAAAGTTTTCTCAATCAGCTGCCATACATTGTGAAAAATGTCCGTCACCATTCACTGCTTTCATTTACTATCATATAAACACAATTATAAAACATTCACATTTACAAAGTTGAAACCAAAGATTTGAGATTTGAGAGCTTGAAAGGGGATTTAAATGATTAATAATGAACCATCAAAATCATGGTTCATGAATATTCTGTCAATCAGCGAGAGTCTTTTCATTAACGAATTGTTTCAGCTTTTCACTATTTAACTGTGGTGTGGTTTGTCAAAACTCCCAAAAGACTTTTTTTTTTTCTTTTTAGGTTTGTTTTGTTTGGCAACAGTGTCAATCAAAATCAAATAACTGCACCAAACTCAAGTCTCTGTCCTCCTCCAAGTTAAAATTGCTGTGTTTCACTGAGAGGCAGGGTGTAATACAAAATGCACAGACTTCTGTGCATAAGGAAACAGATGGTGACATGTAATAGCCAAAGCCTGAGGCTTGGAAAGCTTAGTAAAACAAAATGAACCAAGGGCAAACCACGGTCTGGATTTATTCTCATTTTTAGCTATTTCTTCATGTGCTTTTTACGAGGATTAGCTCCAGAGAAGGGAAATTACAGCAAAGAGCACAGACAATCCATCATATAGAGAGTCTAATCGGATTTGTTTAGGACGCTCTCCTCCTGCCAAAATCACCGACCTGGTGAGACGATGGGTCAACAGAACTTCTGTTGAGTTCATGCGACTTCAGCTACGAGGGCCGGCCGGCTTGAAAATGGACAGAATGAGTTCAGCAGCAGTTTTATAGCATAAAGCACCACAAGGGAATAAAAACATCAACAACTATCGATCAGAAAACTGAAAAAAAAAAAACATGAGTGATGGGTTCACCGTGTATGACTAACCATCGGTCATTTGAACCCATATCAGAATCAATATTTGCAAAGTTATTAATCAATGTGCTGGCATAAACATAACATTTCTGACACAAGTCCACTGAGTCAGATTATTAAAGAGCTTTGGACCCTTTGACACGTAGCTAACGCGGCTGAAGAAAGTAGTTGCAGCAAACAGCTCGATGAGCAAAGCTAAGAAAAATGTTTTGAACCATTTTCACCATCATATCATTGAACATCTACACGTCAACACTTGCTAATCGGCACTGAACACAAAGGAGTAGTGCGGCTGAGGCTAATGGGAATTACATCAACAGGTTAACAGGTACTTTTGCCACAAGCCACAAAGTTGACTTTGGTTTGGTTGGAGACTAGAAACACGAGAAAATCAGCACTGTGGCAACAGGCCACGATGATAACATGTGTAAAACACAATGACAATGCAGCCTTGTGGGTTAATTTATCCTTTGTTTAGAGCTATAATATATTTTCTTCCTATTAATTCTGCCACGATTTGCCTTGAAACATAAAGTTAAATATAAATGACAGCTCAGCCCTGCATGAGTCACACCATGTCTTGTCTGTCACATGTTCTGCCTCACGTTACCAAGGTTATGTTAAGGAGTTTCAACACATGTTTGTCTGTGTCTCCAACCGGAGGCAACTCGTGTGCACAGGCTCATCATATACAACCAACACAAGGTTACTCTATTGTCAACATCAGCAACTTGTCCCGCTCTGGTCACTGTAGCTCCCATCAGTCAAAAGTGTCGCTTGTAACCTCCCGGCAACGCAGTCAGTGGGAGATGCAGGGAAAAGACCTGACCGTAAAACAATAGAGGAAATGTGTCACTACGATATGATGGAAGGTGTAAAGAGAGTAATTTGACTATGCGACGCACTCAGGCAAAAGAGGTATAACAGCCATTTCCAAATCATGAATCACAGACAAAACAAACCATTAGCACCGACCAGGTAATTACCATGTTGGAGAATAATGAAATGTCCAGCATTAATAGTTTTGTACGTACTAAAGCAATAGCATCCGATTTAAAGGAGGCTGATGCCAACTCTGACACAACTTCCAAGCTGC